ATTGTTATACATGCCTCCCCCCTCAGTGTTGTTCAAGAAAGTACAAGAGCTTACAGCCGTCCGCATTTGGAGGTATCAGACAAACGCCGGGCTTCTGTTCAAAGTAAGCGGCTAAAACGAATGTCCCCTCCCGCAATTACCTCCACCACGCGACATGAGCCGTGATATGTGGCATGTCCTTTTTTATTCGCAGCCTTTCTTCGACTAAGGCGACTTTTACACTTTGTTTTATGCTCGTCTGACGATTATGCTGCTGTTTTTCACTCGACTTAACAGCTTAATTAGGAGCATCGAAGAATTGAGCCCTAACCACAAATATTGTTCAATTGTTTGAAGACTTCCCCCTCTCCTTATTCTAATCTGACATCGTCATTGTTTGTACGTTTTAGATGACCGCGAATAAGTTTGGCGATTCGGAGAGAGCATCGGGTGCTCGTGGTGCCACCAGCGCCTCCGCCTCTAACGAGGAGCGTAATACGGAAGGACTGAACGATCCGGATGGTGCTGGCACGGATGAAGAAGACGACGATGAGCAAATATTTGGGAAGGATAAGGGCAGCTCTGTAAAAGGCAGCATTTTCAATTTACCACCCAGGTAAACATCTCTTGCATTTTAGCTGGGTATTGTTGGTGGTTATTTTTGTGCTCTTTGACTTCGCAGTGAAAATGAGAACTGTTTATAGATGCTGAAATAACAAGATGTGGTTCCCTTCAGCAGCGCAGTCTGCGTAGGTTATTTTCAATTATACAGACAGTTTTTTACTAGCACCTACTGAAAAAGTATCAGTACACTCTTGCATAATCGAGTTTTATTATTATTTTTTGAGATTTTGTGTCCCTTTATCTAATAGGTCGTTTTTATGTGCATACTTTCCACTTCAAGTGAAATGCTGTGCTTTTACATATTGTTTACTGACAAGCCAGCCTGTGTCACCTATCAAGGGGAAGTCGGAGTAGCGTATCTCCCTGATATTTATGTTATGAAATGTTAATCAACTTTCTGAAAATAATTTTTGAATAGGAAGGCCTACTTAAATGTGCTTGAACCATTAATTATCGAATAGCATAAGTTCAAGACATTTCAGTAGCGCCTGGATTCAGACTTTTTGAATGCGTTTTTCACGGCCACCTGCAAAAACTAGCCTGTACAGTGCCAGCCTAAACAAAATGCAATATCCATTGCTTTTCGATCCCTGTCACGTCTCTTTCAAAACCGATACTCGAAAAAATTATATCTTCAAGCACCATAGTAGCTTTTCAATCTCCAAAGTAATATTGCATCCGATCTGCCGTTGCATTTATATTCAGCGTTTAAAAATGCAATTCTATTTACTTTTGTTGTATATATTTATGCATGTCATTATGAAAAGACCGTATACGGTTAATCCAATTTTCCAATGACTGTGTTAGATATACCATAAAACTAATTAATGAACGGACAACTGCAGTGTTATTTGAATGGACTTTTCAGTTTTCAAACATCCTGTAAGTACAAACTGTTTGAAGACACAAATGTGCCCTTTTTTCGAGTATGAAATTTGACGAAAACCTGGTGTGCACGTTTCCTGTCAAATACATTTGGATTTATGAGGGCATCGAACATCCTTAAAAAAGGCGTACTGCTTAATCAATATTTTTTTTAGCAAACTTCATTTTTGTAGTCGGGTGGAAAAAGTGCATCTACACGCCTACATTCGGGCATGACTGAACTAGGTTAAGAGTATGCTGCCTAATGACAGTTCGACGTCAAATTTCGACGCTGTCTATCGCATGATTCACGTCAGACTGAAAGCAAGCGCAGTGACTTGCACGTAGATTAGATTATAGTGATAATAGGCTTGTGATGCTTCTACCGCACTTCCTCCTCCTCTTTCACCTGGTTCCGGTGGCACGGCACAGTCAAGGAAACTGGGAGTAGAAGAGGACGTGGGTGTCTGAGACGGCCAAAATTCACATGTGAGCCTACCGCTCCACTATCTGGTCTACAAAAAGCATTTGACTATGAGTATAATGCAATAGCAAGAGAATAGAAACGACGACTTGAATCGCAGCTCTCATGTCGTGGACCTGCGCGCTACTACCTTCCATCATACACTACCTGACCACGGCCTACACTTGGCCAGGGTTTGCGTAGATCACAACGGGTCCGGTATGGATCTCATATGTAGCCGAGAAACCGCATATGGAGGAGGTGAAGTACCCCCTTCTTACTTAGGTGGGGAGTACCGGTGGTTGATGGTAATTGAATGTGATGGGTTTCATGTATGATGCATGCGTTGGTAGGGAGAGTGTACAGTGATGTGGTCGAGCCTGCTGTATGATAATCAGTTTCTTAATCACTCTTAGGTACTCCTTAGTAATTTAAAACGCATATAAGAATTTCAGTTTGTATGAGTCATCCACTGTGCGTGAAATCCGAGTTTGATGTCTGGTTCGTGTGCATATAGTGGGCAATACAAGTGTATCATTCTCTTTAGTCACTACAGTTACTTCTATCTCCCATCGCCTGATTCCCTTGCTGTCAGTGTTTGCATGCCCGGGATAGTGTTGGATGTCTTTGCTTTGACAACTGGACTATCCATATTATTCTTTCTATAGGTTTACCTGCACACTCGTGTTATTCATTGTGGGGAAGTCTTTTAGCCGCGCACCGTTTAATTTCCTTTTTTTCTTTGACTGTCATCGTGCATTGTTTTGGTACATATTCTTTCAGATGGCCCACGCGAATGCTGGCAGTTGCCTGTCTGCGGAAGCTTATTCTTCTGTGCCACGAGGCCTACACGACCGCGGCTAGCCTCAAGGCTGACTTTCACAATGCGCCCTTACAAGCCGATGAAATTAACTCTCAGGCATCCGGTTCAAATCAGCTGGCTCATTTTGATCTCGCATTGGCCCGAAAGCTTCGACAATCGGCGGGCCCAGCGGACTCTTCTCTGCGCCAAAAAGATCGCGAGGACTGGCTAGTTCTTCATCTCCCAGATCTCATCAGGATGGTTTTCATCTCGGCAACGTGTAGCATTGATCAGCTTCGCATTTTCGGCCTTATTGCCCTGCGTGATCTTATTCGGTGCTTCGCCC